TATTATATTTCCTGACTCCTTGATCATATTTTATTCATTTTTTATTAATTTTTTTATCCCAAACAAACCTAAAAAAGACTTGATTTCTAAACCCCTCTCTCTCTTAACGTGATCCCTTTCTCTTTCTCCCATCAACCTCCCAAACCCCTCTCTCTCTCTATCTCCCCCCTCACCTGCTCGCTATAAACCATTTTTGGCCGGCCACCATTTGGCCGAAATCTTGACCGAAATTTGCAAGGAGAACCCATAAATTTCAATCTTTTTGGCTGGCAACCATTTTGGCCGGAATCTTGACCAGGATTTGCAAGGAGAACCCACAAATTTCAATATTTTTGGACAACCACCATTTTGGCAGAAATCTTGATCGGAATTTACAGGGAGAACCCACAAATTTTTGGTTTAGGGTTTCACAGACTGAATCTTTTTGGCCGGCCACCATTTTGGCCAGAATCTTGATCGGGATTTACAGGGAGAACCCACAAATTTCCGATTTAGGGTTTCATAGACTGAATCTTTTTGGCCAGCCACCATTTGGCAGGAATTTTGATCGGGATTTGAAGGGAGCCATGCGACTAGCTCATGGATCGCCAGCCTCACCTTCCCTTACCGCTAATGAGGAAGCTGCTGTAGGCCGGTAGTGAGGAATAGCTTGCATTGTCGGTGGGTGGTTCTGTTCGAGTCCCCAGAAATGGCCCTGCTCATGAAGAAGCAGTTCGGCGCCATCCCACTTTCTTTCCAGTAGGGATAGTGGAGTTTTGTTGAATATTATATACCCATCTCGATCCATTCCAGCTTCAGTACCCCGTGGATCCGAAAAAGCCTCTCTGGCTAATAAAGCGGGTATGTCTTATCTCCCAGCGTACCCTCTCCCCCAAACCATTATCCGACCTTGCCTTTATGAAAGATTCGATGCCAGCAGCTACTGCCACAAGTAAACGACTAGTCCCCAACTGCGACACACTCTAATGGAGTCAACCAGTGAGGGGGGTCATCACCATTTTCTGTGAAGTCCCTGTATCTTTCCAAATAATCTTGAAAATTCAGAGGCCTCATCACTTCATCCTCCAAAACTAGCGAAGATCTAGCATCACCTTCCGCCAATACCTTCTTCACCTCAGGCCTATCAGTACCATGAACCACGGAAGCTTCTTTTAAAGATGAAGGCGAGGTTCTTGTTATTGCTATAGCTGAGGATGAGAGGTTGAATCCCTTCATCTGAGATCTCAATCCATGAAACAATTGATTTTCCACAGTGTTGGTCCTCGAAGAAACAACAGAGCAACCTGCAACAACCACCATTACCGATTGGGTTTTTAGCCTACCTAGAGAGAGGTTTTTGATGAAGATTGTCGCCACAATGCAAGGTTTCCGGCCACAACACAAGGTTTCCGGTGAGCTCCTGGACAATCTAGAGAGAGAAACACATGAGGAAATAGTGTGAAACACGTGAGAAGAAAGAGAGTTAAAAAAATATGTCTTTTTTAATTTGTTTGGGTTAAAAGTTGAGATAAAAATAGATAAATTATTTGAGAGGTTAGAAGATAGGGTTTGAAAATTTGGGTTCAAGAAGAAATGCAAGTTGAAAATGGGGTCCATGAGATATTTTCCCTAGCTTTAAATGGTTCATCACTCTTGAGTAATTTGATAAATTTTCTTTCAATTTTTTTGGCCCGATTTTCACACCTATGAATTAGTTAAATGTGACTAGATTGGGAATCTCAATCAATTCACGTAGTGACTGTTCTAGCCACCAATCCAAATTTCGGCATAAGTATATATATTCGAATTTCGGCATGAGTATATACAAATTTCGAGACTTGCTCTAGCGGGATATGAAATATACTTGAGGGGTTTTGCCAGTGAAATCAACCTCTTTACAAAGATGGCGTTAAAGCAAGGGGAGAGGAGGTTAGCCTCTGAGTCACTTCAGCAACGTCTTCTAACAAGAAATACTCTTGAATTATCAAGTTTGCCTTTTACTTGAAGGCCCATGCATCTCCTTCTTCGAAAAAACCCATTTGGTCGAGGAAAGAGATTTGAGCAAAGATGCAAAGAGCCACCCAAAATATTTGGTCGAGGAGAGATCCTTGAGCAAAGATGCAAAGAGCCACCCCTCTGAGGCTGCCTTGTAAATAAGTAATTGAAGCATGTTCGGATATCAAAGTAATAAGTCGTCTACCATATCGATAAGCCGCTCCAACCCTTTCAAAACTTGACTAGAATTAGCAATTTCATGATGGAAAAATGGCATTTTAAGGTCTTTAATGCATCTACAACCTTACCACCACTTGCTATGTACTCAACAAGAAGATCGATTATTTTGGACTTAGCATCCTCTACTGTTCCTGTTTTTGCTTCCTCCCCACCTCCTTTCAATAACTTCAGCATGAAGAGGGGCCGATAAGTAGTTCTTCTCGGCTCTCTTTATCACTTGAATTCCTTTCGAGTCTTCCGGGAGAATGGTAACTTGTTTGTTCATGAAGGCAGGAGGGAGAATATCATCAACAACCGATCCAGCAATGAAGAGAGTGAGGATATCTATAGCATCAGGTATGTCTATTGATAAGTGATCAGTGGCTTCCACTAGTTTTCCAAAGCCTCGATAAACTTGGGGTGCTTCATTAACATCGGCATTGAGAGAGGATAAGAGGAGAGCTGCCATTTCCTTCTCTCTATTGTGTCTATCCATAGCCATCGAGACAAGCTTCTTGAGAAAATAGTAGCGATAGCATGGAAGGCCGAGGTCTCTTAATTCATTGGCTGATGAGGAAATATCATCAGTGAGGAAGTATTGGTCAATAATCAGTCTGGTTTTTGCTCTGAACTAGGGGAATGTTTTTTAATCCCATTGGGTTGGCTATTTTTCTGAAATAAAAAAGGAAAGGTTTTATTGAAGTGAAGAAGTTTAAACAAATTGAACTGACATAAACCTGCTTTTACCATGCTACATTGTCTTGCAATAGACAAATCAACAGGATAGGAGCTTAGAAGTTAAAAATGTCTACCAACTACTATGCCTATCATACACGAATTAATGCAGTAGCAAATGAGAGGTATGAATGCTTTCGTGACTACCTCACTGCTATCATAGTTTGGATCATTTCGATCGAGGACATGATCATCATCAATCTCCAATAAACCTCCCCATATGCCTCTACCACCTGAGCCACCTGTAAGCAAAATATGTCATTGCACTTAATACCATGTGTCTACTAATCAAATCCTATCTTTTATTTGGAAAATTATCAAAATAACTATGAGATACAAACTATTTATGTTTTGCTCATATGTTTTGATTTAATTTCAAAATACACATGCAAACTATTTATATTTTGTGCATATATTTTGATTTAATTTCAAAATACACATCAAAAGCCAGACATGGAATAGTTGCAAAAGGTTAAACTACTAAATAGTTAATCTCTTATGGGAGTTTTGATAAATTTCCCATAAATCTTTACAAGGAAGGTGAACAAAAAATAATATTGAAAGTTTTTTTAATAATCTTAACCTTAAATTGAGTGAAAGGAAGAGTACAAAAACCTAGAGAGACCACAGAGTTGGGTGCTCTAGGGAAAGAGAACCAAAAAAGAAGACCAAAATCCTTCTAGAAGAAGGTTACAGTGTGCAAACAGTAACTAATAAAAGAAAGTACTCCAAAATTCCCAGCTAGGGAAAATGTAGATTGCTAAAATTTCTCTCGTAAAGCCGCTTCTTTAGCTAGGTCGTCTGCTTCCTTGTTGCCCTCGCTCCAGGTATGTTTCCATGAGACGTCCATATCCTTGCACAGGTAATGAATGTGCTCAAAGATGTGCGTTTGATCCAGGGTGAAGGTAAAGAGGGTATTCTTTGGGCCCACATAATAGTATTATGTGAGTCGCCCTCTATCACAATTGGGTCTGGGCTGAGAGTTTGAAGTGGCTTTAGTCCTTCCAAGAGGACGTGGCCCTCGGCTTTGAAGTGGCTTTAGTCCTTCCAAGAGGGCATGGCCCTCGGCTACCACCGAATTGGTGTGGCCAATGTAATTGGAAGACGAAGCGACTGTATTGCCTAAATAGTCTCTTACTATGACTCCCACTCCCGTAGGATCTGGATCCCCGAGGGAGCATCTATCGAAGTTCAGTTTTAAATAACTTGTCACAAGATGCACCATTTTTTGAACTTGGAATGTTTTTCTTCATGCTTGTACATCTCACAATATGAATCACAGAGTTCTCCAATACCGAAACACTCTTCTATAGGATTTTTGATGTCCACCTTACTTTAATAATATCAAGTCAATTCTATATAAATTTTTTTGTTTCATCTTTTTTAGCATACTTATTAAGACATCACCGAGTTGGTGGTCTAACTAGTTGGACCTTCAACTACTATCTTGACCAATCAGGTCCAAGGTAGAAACTAGATTTGGTAAAGAAACTACTCCAAATAAATATTTGATCAAGAAACTGCTCTAAATACATATTTGAACGGTTTTTGGTAAATTGAAATGGCTAGTTTTAATCGATTCAACCAACTAAATAAGACATTTTTTCTTTAATATAATTTTGGAAAAATTACATACGGACCACATTGATTTCTTTTTTTCAACTTACCACGGTTGAGTAAATCGAATTAGGTTTTTTTTTTTTTTGGAAAAAGATTATATAAGGTTGCAACTTTAAAATGTAGAATTATAGATGCAACTTAAAAATCCATTTGAAAAGGTTGTTTTAATATGGAAAAACCATGTAATTGATCATATCGACAACAAAATGTATGAATATGAAAAAAGAAAAAGATTTGAAGTCTTAGAAATAGTGCATTTTGTAGCATATTATCTATACCGTCTATTTTCAAGATTTTCATATGTTTATAGAACTATTTGATTTTAACCATTTTTAAAATTTAAAATTTTATAATTAGATATGAAAATAGATTTTGAAATAATACTAAGTCTGTAAAATTTAGAGGTGCGCCTTAATTGGATTGTTTAAGGTTGCAACATTATAGAAACCACACCTGTTTTTTCGCCTTCAAAAGATCATAACCTCACTTTTTGTTACTTCGTAATCTCTGCTACTCCTCATTCCTTAAGAGAAAAACCCTAGAATTGATGCAGTTAGCCCAAGCTAAGCCCATAGCAGGGGAAACACCCTAGAAAGCTAAGCCAGAGCAGGGAAACACCCTACAGCTGACGCAGTTAGCCCAAGCTAAGCACAGAGCAGGGGAAACCTTTTTCCCTCTAATTTCGACGCAAAAGCCTTGACGTTAAAGCCTTGAGGTTTGAAGCGATCTTGAAGAAGAGAGAAAAACTTCGAGGTAGATCAGCTATGTTGTTGTCGAACTCAGACCTAAAAAGGACAGCAACGGAGTCCAATACCACCACCAGCTTCACAGGCCTTAACAGAGACTGAGAAATTAGGGTTTTGACTAGATCCAGAAAGAAGGTACGAATTTCTCAAAAATCATCCTATTCTTCTTCATAAATTTGAGTTTTGATCTGAATAGCTGTATATTCTATTGGGTCAGTTGTTGGTCTCTTCTCTTTCTATCGAAAGTATTCTGGTTTTCAAGTTTTCCTTCAAAACCCCTTATCGAAAGTATTCTAGTTTCCAAGTTTTCTTTCAAAACCCCCTATTAGGGAGGATTAGTATTCCACTTACTCATGCTTCATCTTTCAGTATTCTAGTGATTAGTATTCTAGTTTTCAAAACCTGTTTCTTATCAGGGAGGATTAGTTTTCAAGTTTTCAGTACGAAACCTGGGTGTGTTTGATAATAAGAAGTGTTCTCTATTAGGGTGTGTTTGATAATAGGAAGTTTTCTCTATTAAGGCGTGTTTGATAATAGGAAGTGTTCTTTATTAGGGCGTGTTTGATAATAGGAAGTGGCTTCTGGTTAGAAACCTGCTCGCTACGTGTTTGATAATATAAAATGGCTTCTGGAAGGTGAGAACTTCTCAACTTTCAGTTCAATAAAAATTGAGAAGTCCAAATAAAAACTTTAGTTTACTGTTGATCTTCCTACGCCCTTTTGTAAAAAAAAAGTTGGAAACTAAAATAGGAAGTCCGTAACTTCCTCCCCTTCGATAACCCTAGCCTCTTTTCTCTTCGTCGCCGCTGAGCTGAGCAGCCCTCTCTTCGCAGCTTCCCATCTTCACCGCTGAGAAACCCAGCGATACAAAGTAACGCTTCCCCCCATTAAATGCCCACGCTCCTCTCTCTTTAAAATCTCTCTTTCTCTCTCATGCCCCCATTAACCCATTAAATGCGCTTGCTCCTTTCTCTCTAAAATCTCTCTTTCTCTCTCATGGTTTCCATTTGCTCACACCGCTTGTGCCAGAAGAAGCTTGCTCCAGTGACTTAGATTTTTTTTTTATGTTTCCTCTGTTAAGATCAGTGGAAGAACTCTCTCGCTTTCTCTTTTTTTGCTGGTTCTGTTTTTGGTTTTTGTTTTTTGTTTTATCCCTCTGCCTTACTTTTTGCCCTAGAAATTCTGGTTTCTCAATTGTGTTTTTTTGATGGATTTCAGCACTTTCCATGCACGTTCTGCAGTATAGAGTGCTGACCTGGAATTTTGTCTTTGGCATTTTAGGGCTCTTTAGGTTTTATGCCCTTTGGTGGCAAGGTGATTGCTTTCCTGCTTTGGTAATTTCTTATTTTTATGTGAGTTGATCATCTTGCTTCTCATGTTGCTTTGAAATTTTTGGTTATAGTTCATTGCATGTTTTTGAACTAATTTGATTGTTTCACTGTGTAATTTTCCTTGCCAGGCCTCATTTTCTTCCAATACTTGGATTTTTTGTTTGTTTTGTTGCTAAAAAATGGGTGAGAAAATACCTTCATGGAAGGAGAACCTAGCTCCTTTCAATTTTTGTTCTTAATTTTGATGAAACTGCTCATTTAAAGAAGAAAAGGGTTTTTTTATGTTTGGATTCCTTCTGTGTATCTTTATACTAAATCATTTCAGGGTTTATTTACTGAAATTTAAGTTCAATTGTCATTTAAACAGATGTTCTGTACACAAGAAAGTCAGAAATGCGATTTCTTCAACTATGATATGGCCCGATTGATTCAGGGGAATTTGTTCCAAAACATGGCTACTATATGACGGTTTTGGCCTGCCTATAACTAAAACAAAGCAAAACAATTGATATCCATTTTAAAGCTTATTTAGACTAATCACATTCACATCTATCAAGTTCCATGACATTGGAATTGAATTTTTTTCAGTGGAATCTAGTCTGTGAAAAGCTCATTTTCAGAGAAGAAAGGCTATAGTCATCGCATGCATCTCGGGGGCCAAAAATTGATGCCCTGAAGCCTTTTTCTTGATCACCTAACTTTTTTGTTTTGATGCATATAGGTCACTTAAACCATCTAATTTGTGATATCTTTTTGGATTTTAGATTTTCTGAGGTTATTTACCTACATTTTATAGTTCATAGGGTTTGATAGTAAATTTATTATATTATTGTTCCATTACATTCTTGCATCTGGTGTTTTTTTTTTTCCATTAATTTCTTTTAATGTTAAACCTATTTATTGTTGTCTGCAGCTTACAATATAAGTCATTATGTATATGTAACAGTATGATCTTCGATTTGGAGCCCATGTATATGTAACAGTATGAACTTCGATTTCAAATTTGGAGCCCATGTATATGTATATGTAACAGTATGATCTTCGATTCTTTCTCCATTTTCTTGAGATGGTTTGTACCCTCTTCATGTTGGAAGAATGGTACTTGTGGTTGAATTCTGCAATGGGGTGTTGGCTCTTATATTGTTCATTTGTATGCTGATTTTTGTGCAATTGCACGCATGATGAACTGGTCAATTGCATTGCTTTCACTTTTGCACATTCACTTACCATTTTGCATATCTAATAATTATATTATCGCTATTTTGTGTACAATTTCAGGCCAAACTTATAGAAGTGGCACAAGAACTGGGCAGAGGAATTCATATATTCACAAACTTACAAACTTGGCCTCTAAACCATACCGTGGTTTCTATACCATTTCTTTTGGCTTGGCTTCTATACCATTTGTTTTGGTAAGGACTGTACCCTGGCTTCTATACCATTTCTTTTGGTAAGGACTATAGGCCGGTTTGGAAACCAATATTCATTTTTATCGCGGTGGACATATGAAAAAACCATTCCTTTTGGTAAGGACATTTCTTTTGGTAAGGACAATAGTCCGGTTTGGAAACCAATAGGAATTTTTATCGTGGTGGACATATGAAAAATGTAACTCTCCCCAATGGGATGAAAACCAGTCTTTCTCTAATCCATCTAATCCAATACAGTTCTTCTTTAACTTCTCAGGAGGTTATCCAACACAGAAACCAGGAACTTCTTAACTTCCTAAGTTATCAAACACAGAAACCAGGAACTTTTTTAACTTTTTTAACTTCCCGACTAGGAACTTTTTAACTTCCCCGGGAGGTTATCAAACACAGAAACTAGGAACTTCTTAAGTTCATAGTTCTTCAGGAACTTCTAATTTTACAGTTTATGAAGTTGCTTCCAGTTATCAAATAGGCCTTAAAGTTTGGAAATTAAGGTTCTTTTAGTAGAGAAAGATGCAAAATGGAAAAAAACAAATTTGCAATTTTTTTCTCGAGGTTTTATTTTACAGAGTGTTTTCTCTAACACTAAATTAGGGTTTGGGTGTTTGTCGTAGAGGATATTTGCACTACTCTAAATTAGGGTTTGGGTGTTTGTTACAGGATATTTAGGATATTTTTTCCTACTGCCCTTTTCTTCAACAATGTCTTTACTCCAAGTGATCACGAAGGCAGCAGAAGACCACCCCAAAATACTAAATACTTCATCAGAATACCCCATAACTCTAAATTCTAGTGAAATATTCCAAAACCTTAAGCCTGAAAATCCAGATTCAGATGATGAACCTATGGTGAGAAAGGTAACAGGTTGGTCAATCAATGATCATAATTCTGAGATCATGAGTGCTGAAAAAAAATTCACGAAGCAGCAAAAGCGCAATCTGAAAAGCCTTCTATTCGACATAAAGATGTTCACCAAGTCATTAGACCGTTTTCTCACGAAAATCACGAAAATCTGTTGTAAGGTCAGTGATATTCAACCAGGAGATGAGAAAACTCTTATAATGCTGAGGAATGCATGCCCTTTTCTTAGCTCACAAGTGAAAGCCTTAATCTCAGAATGTTGTGTTCGATTAGAACATTGGGAATTGATGGAAGCTATTATTTTTCTAGGGTTTATTAGAGGTATATCTCATTACAATTTGGTTCGAAAGCTCGTTGATGCCGAGAGAGGTGACCTCCTTTGCCAAATTATCAGGCACACACCAGACTTGGGGCATTCGGAGATTGCCATGATCTTGAACTACTTTTTATCCCCCAAAAATGACCATGATTTGAGCATCAACAGTGTTAGAAAGAATTGGGAAAACCAGGCCCTCTGGGCCATTGATAAAGCAGCCCAATCACTTCCCCATAAAACCTCTGATTTTTATCTCAAAATCCACAATGCCAATTCAGTTCAAGACCATAAAACCTCTGATTCTTTTCTCAAAACCCACAATACCAATTCAGTTCAAGACGATGCAGCTTTACTTCTTGCCATGGCCTATGACGGGTTCTCTGCATTTGAAACTTGCCTTCATTTTCTCTTTTCCCCTTCTCTCGACGGCCTTGTTCTATCGTATGCTATATCAAAACTGCAATCTGTGCAGTTATACAGATTGATAAGGTACACTCGCAAATGGGTAAAAAAATATTCGAGATTTCCAGGTCTTGTGCCATGGTCTCCAGAATCTGGTTCAGAGTTCGAAGCTTGCAAATGGGTTCCTTCCCTTGAATCAATTATTAAGGTTTTGGGGGTGGTTTTGGATGAGCATTACTCATATTTGGTTTTGGATACGGTGTTTCATGAAGAATTGAGATCGATACAGGAGACGGTAATGCCTTTAGTATCTGAAGGCAATGTGTCATGCTCAGTCTCGAATTTGCTGGAGAGTTTGAGGTGCGAATCATGATGAATTAAGGTTCTAACCCAAGATAGAGAAAGTGATTTTGTATTGAGGTTTTGGGTTTGGATTCTGTTTTGATCATACTCACTCGCTCTATAAAATTCTGAGCAGGTAAGCTTTTAGACGCCGCTCTGTAATTTTATCTCTCTCTTTCTGATGATTGAGTAGATTTTTAAATGTGATACATGAGGATGAAGAGAAACTTGTTAGCCTTATTTGCAGTGGATATTAGCCAAGTCTGTTAGCCTAACTGGGGTGATATTTTACCCTGTGGGCCTCTCTCTTATTTGCCTGATAAGATTTTTTAATTGATGAGGTTGGGCCTCTCTCTTATTGGCCTGATAAGATTTTTTAATTGATGAGGTTCTCTCTCTTTCCAATGTAGCTACTACCCATCGATTTCTTCTCTCACAGTCTCTAATGTAGCTTACCCCATCTCTCTCTCTCCCTCTCCAACTTGCAAAAATGATAGTCTAATATTACTCGCAAAATCGAGCTAATCTTTTTCAGATGTATTATTTTACGTTCTATTGTCTTTTGTTTCTCCTTTAGTTTTCTTGATTGTAATGAGTTATCTTGTTCCATTTGTCAAAATAGCATAATCAATCTGGTCTTGTTCTCTTTTCATTATCTTTGAGTGTTTTAAATTTGGTGAGTTTGGTTTTGAATTCCAAGTATTTTTGGTGACAGAACAAACATTATACCGGTTACTTTATATCTCAGGAAATTAGTGGCTTTACTTTCAGTTATTAATATGGCATGTTTACCTAGATCCTGTTTGCTTGATAAAGAACAATGGCCTACTCGAGATGCTTCTTGATTTGGATGTTATAGCTTTTGTGGAGCTAAATTTTTATTTATTGTTGTGTATAATGGACGACACTAACGAATTTACCATATTTCTGGGAAATGATGATCAATGTGAATGATTGAATGGTCTTTTCTTTATTCAGTGATTCTACACTTTCTGTTTAATTCTTTTAATTTTGGTGTAGTTTTGGATTTAAAACTTGGACTATAGTTCTTACCCTTTATGCCTGAACCACTCAGCCAAGAGGCCATCCAAAAGGAATGTTTTATTTGTGTGAAGGTCTTATGATTAGTTTTCTTCAGAAAGCAGCGACACACAGCAATCTTCTCTTCACTCATAGGAATATTTTAGGGGTTCTTCATTCCAAACGGTTTTATATAATCTGCTCTATTGATACAGCAATCTTCTCTTCATTCATAAGCATATTTTAGGGGTTCTTCATTCCAAATGGTTTTCTATAATCTGCCCCATTGATCATGTTGCTCTCTAAGCGTGACTGGATGGAAGCTTATCCTGGGTTGTGTTAAGCGTAAAGCGAGATTCCGTAAGGAGCACACTTGAATTATTTAGCAGACTGTATGATAGCAGTTCTCGCTTCGGTCAGGGAGAGGATTCAATCCAACCACTGGTTCCCCTACGGCTACCTTGTAACAACTTCACCCGTCTCTCCCCGAGAGGTATACCCCACCCTCACCGAGTACATAAGGATCGCAGGCTCTACTTTTGACCCTTTGCCTTACGATTCATTTGCTGACGGTTTGTTGTTTTGTGGCTGTTGACAAAATTCTACCTATTCCTAATGTAAAATACAGGGTTTAAAAAATGGTGATCCGGATCATAACTGGCCAATCCTAATCGGGAACCGGAGGGGCCAATCCATTTCTTGTTGAATATTAGGAACCAGCCGGTTCCCTCTACCCCACTTTTATTTTTAAAATTTTTCAATTTTTTTAATTATTATTGGCCGGTTCACTTAGGCGGATTATTGTTCCACCGAATTGGACCAGTTTTCAAGATGGGTGATCCGGGTCATTGATCTGAACGTTTAAACCTTGGTAAAATCAAAATCTATTTTGTTAATGTGCGTGGGAATCTGAATCTTTCACCCACTTGATGTCGTATGCTATGTTGTTCATATGCTTACATGAAATTCATGGCTTATTATTTCTCAAACTTATGTTCTTTTGCCTTGTAACTTTGTATTGTTTTTCATGAATCCCTGATTTCCTGACTCGGCCTTGTTTTGCGTATTTTGGCCTCAAAAAACAGTATCATGCATATTCTAATGCTTCTTTTCTTTCTATTTACTTTCATGAGCAATGATGGAACATGATCAATCCAAACCTCTTCATGGTGAGGTTTCCATGCTATAGGCTTTAACCATGCTCATTGGCTATTTGGCATCGTAAGGCAACCCAAAGCCTTTTATTTTATCTAAAATATTCTTGCCTTGCCATTAGAAGCTTATGTTGTTGCCTTGAGATATTGAAGACTTTAGTACTTTACTCTAAAAAAAAAAAAAGTGTCTTCTAGGATTTTCATTTTTTACTGCCATTAGTATTTCGACTTCTTGCAACCATGAGCATTCTCTATTTTAGTGAATCTGGTTGTTTGATCTCCTTGGCTAGGGTTGACAATTTACCTGAATCCTTGGATTTCATACCCTATTTGGATCTGGGTATAGATCCAAGATTTATGTGGTTTAGAATGCATATCACTATATGAATTTTAATTTTTTTAAAAAAAATTTGATTACAATGAAATTTTGGGTGTATATACCTATCACTTTTGCACATCATATAAAAATTAAAAAAATTATTTTCAATATTTTAAAATGATCAAATTATCCCTGTCATTTTTCAAAGATATTTTGGCCATTTTATATTTTGAAAAATAATTTTTATATATTTTTTAATTGTGCACCTTATTTTTTAGTATACAAGTTTAAAATTTCATTATGATCCGATATTTAGAAAAGATATAAAAATTCATATAGTGCTATGTATTTTGAACTATGATAAAAATTGATGGTTTTCATTCTACCTATATTACTATTCATTATTGCTGCTCAGTAAGATTTACTATATATTTTGTTTCCACACAGGGATATGTTAGAAGCTATTTTACTAGCTAGACTAGCACCAGTTCCTTCCCGTTGTTGCTAACGAAGTACGTTTGACCTCACTCTGTTCGTTCACTGTACACCGTGAACTCTTAAGGAAAGAAAAAAGATGAATATATATATATCTAAAAGCAATGATCTAATGCAACGATTGTAATGTAAGGACATTTCTAGAAAGCCATGTTTGTGGTATTTCTATGATTCCAAATTTTACATACACACTCTCTTCATTTCAATAATCAATCCTCAAAAAACAAAAAGTTCATTTTGGACTTTCGATATGGTCAAAATGAGTCCCCTTCAAAAACGTATCTAGACCATTCATTTTGTGAATTTCAATATCTTAAATTTTATAAATTCAAAATCATTTTTTTTTTGTTCAACATTGTTTATCAAATGATAATAAAGTACTTTCTAGGTTATGATTTCAATTATTATTTTTTGCAATTGTTTATTAGAATGAAAAGAGTGTGTATTTCAAAATTTGGATCAAACAAATGATTCTAAGATGGTTTTTTTTAAGGTTGCTGCTGTCATATTACTAAACAATGGTTACATGAAATCATTAATGAATGCTTTATGCCATGGAACGCAAATGTAAAGGTTGATGCTATCATGTTACTAAACAATGGTTGCATAGGTTGATGCTATCACATTACTAAACAATGGTTACATGAAATCATTACTCTAACATGAATGCTTTATCCCATGGGGACGCAAATGTAGAAATACGTCCCCCAAAATGCAAGGAACAATTTGTTGCATGAACCCAATGCTTTGATTTGTGATTGGAAATCACACATGCATGAGTAGATGCTTTTATTGTGATTGGGTCTCCTTCATATTAACATGCTTATGCTTGCTTAACCGTATTTCGTTTGCTATTTTCATTTTTTAAATAACCATTTGCTATTTTCCTAATGCTACCTTCTACTTGGATTATTTTCTTCCAACTTGACATTGGGGTAGGCTGATTATAGGAGATTTATGAGAAGGTATTGATTTGTGTTTAATTGCAAATAATATAATTTGATAAGAATTATATTATGGATATATTACTATTTTTTTTCCATTTATTTTTCTTTCTTATTTTCTTTTTACTTTTAGCTTCTTCTTTTTTCTTTTACCTTTTTTTTATTTAGTAGTGAATTATCTAATTTTTGAACTTTTAATTTTTTTGTGTTTTGGCTGAGGCAGTATATGGTAGAACTATCACTAGACCTTCCAAGATCTAGTCTAAGTAAAAGGTGGAACTATCACTTTTGATGATGATACGTATGTCGAATCATCATGATACCCTTCAATACAATAAACCAGACCTTAATTAGTTAGAGGAGTGAAATTTCGATACCCTTTAATACAATAAACCAAACCTTAATTAGTTAAGAGGAGTGAAATTTCCTAAAAAAGATAGGAAATTATAAATAAAATAAAATAAAAAAACAGAAAAAAGGGGAATGTATCATACAAGGTTCTATTAAAAGAATTAAAAGTAATTGAGAGGAGGTAAAAGATAAGCAACTTAATACTATTTTTAGAACTCTTTTTAAACTAATTAGGGATGGTAAAATTAGATCATAGGTAATTTAATGCTAATTACTCATTGAGAGGAGGGTAAAAAATCACATGCAATGCAACTTAATACTATTTTTAGAACTCTTTTTAAGCAATGGTAAAATCAGATCATACGTAACTTAATGCTAATTACTCATAAATCATATATATCTTATTGGTAGTTTGATGCTAGTTACTCATAAATCATATTTCTTATTGGTAGTTTATAGTGGTGTTTTGAAGTATGATGTTCAATGTTATTTCCTATTGGTTTGTAGTTGTGTTTAGAATTATATGCTCAATGTTGTTGAAAGTGATTAGTGCTACATTGGATCAGGGTGATTAGTGCTACATTGGATAAATGAGTTTCACAATTTTTTTTTATGCATTGCATTTTCTCTGACCATATGCAAGATAAAAGGAGTTAAGTTAGTTTTAAAAAAAAGAGATCACAGGAAAAAAAAAAGAAAAAAAAAGAGAACACGTAGAATTTTAAAAAAAAATTGAAAAATAAGAAATAGGTATTAAAAGTAAGTTCAGACCTAAATTCACCTTTAAAAAGTTAAAATAAAGTTAAAAAAAGAGAGTAGAGAAACATGGATTTAAGAAAATCCCAATTTATATTATGGGATATTTTAAAAAGAATTCAAGAAAAAAATATAAAATGTGATTATGGGAAAAAAAAAAAAACACACATCAATCTTTGCCAATACATCCGAATCAAGTGAAAATTTTTTATAAAACATATTTTTATTTTTACCATTCTTTTATTTTTTGATTTTGTTTTTAAAATGTCTCGAGTTGTACACACGACACAGGCTACCCAGCCGAGCCAGCCTCGGTACAGTAATTTTCCCTATTTATTGTCGAATGTTACAGGAATATTGTTTTCTCAAG